AGCGGATTGGCAGTCACAGGTGTCTGTATAGCATCAGACTGAGCATCATGGACAGAGGTGGTGTTTTTTTGTTCAAGGAAGAGGGCCCCAGGTAGGTGGGGAAGGCTCCTGGGACAGTATGTGTGTAATACTGACAGTTTCTTAGAAGGTCCTTTAGGAGGACTCTGCTGCTATTGGCCTCAGGGTAGGGACGTGGTATAGTGGGGAAAAGAAACAGAGTAATACAGGAGGTTGAAAGGGGATGGTCTTAACAATAGGCAGGGGTAGAGGAGGGGTACATCCTCCTCCCGAAAGGAGCAATCAATGCCGCTGTCTCAGGGTCCTTCCAACCATAATGGAAGGAAGCGTCGTGTGAGCGGTGTCTGCTCATACCAGCACCACTAACACTAGAGGGAGTGTTTTTTTTTTTTTTTTAAGAAAAAAAAAGAAAAAAAAGAAAAGAGTTATCCATGTGAGGGACGCTGGACCCGGTTTCCAGCACTATGAATGTTTTGTTTTTCTCAGAAAAAAAGAAGAAAACATATGTGGCTTGATGGACCATGGATCAGATATCTTAGCCCTGAAAACACATTTCTGTGTGCTGTTTCTTTCCCTTTCCTCCTACCACTCCTCCTCCTCCTCCTCCTCCTCCTCCCCCTCCTCCTTCTTCTTCTTGTTATATGAACCCTTCCCCACCTATCCATCCTTTCCCTCTGGAAAATTGACCCTGGTGGGACATCCTGCCTGCCTCAGAATTGGATCTGCTGATCTTGTCACCAGTGCCTTGCAGCTGCGCCTCCCAAAACTTGGGTCTCCTTTCTTCACTCTTCTTCTTCTTCTTCTTCTTCTTCTTCTTCTTCTTCTTCTTCTTCTTCTTCTTCTTCTTCTTCTTCTTCTTCTTCTTCTTCCTCCTCCTCCTCCTCCTCCTCCTCTTCTTCCTCTTGTTGTTGTTGTTGTTGTTGTTGTTGTTGTTGTTGTTGTTGTTGTTGTTGTTGTTGTTGTTGTTGTTGTTGTTGTTGTTACGATCCTGGCCAATTTCGAAGTCCACAATCATCAGAAAGTACAATGTTGTCCAATTG